CTGAAATCAAGAGTCTCATGGTCCACCTTATGAGCCATCCGGGCGTCCCAAGATGTGCTTTTCATTTTATTTATTTATTATTTATTAATTTATTTATTAAAAACTTTTTAAATGTTTATTTATTTTTGAGAGAGGACAGAGTGAGAGTGGAGGAGAGGCAGAGAGAGGGAGACAGAATCCAATGGAGGCTCCAGGCTCTGAGTGGTCAGCACAGAGCCTAAGGCAGGGCTCAGACTCATAGACCATGAGATCATGACCTGAGCTGAAGTCAGACGCTTAACTGACTAAGCCATCCAGGTGCCCCTTATTTATTTTTTTAAATGTTCATTTATTTTTGAGAGACAGAGAGACAGAGAGAGAGACAGAGAGCGTATGAGCAGGGGAGGGTCAGAGAGAGAGGGACACACAGAATCTGAAGCAGGCTACAGGCTCTGAGCTGTCGGCACAGAGCCCAGCATAGGGTTCGAAGGGCAAGATCATGACCTGAGCCAAAGTCGGACTCTCAGCGGACTGAGCTACCCAGGCACCCCTAAGATGTGCTTTTTAAAAGCTAGTTCCTGGGGCTCCTGGGTGGCTTAGTCGGTTAAGCGTCTGACTTTAGCTTAGGTCATGATCTCGCGGTTTGTGGGTTCGAGCCCCGCGTCGGGCTCAGTGCTGACTGCCAGCTCAGAGCCTGGAGCCTGTTTCAGTCTGTGACTCCCTCTCTCTCTGACCCTCCCCTGCTCATGCTCTCTCTCTCTCTCCTAGCAATAAATAAAAAAAACATTAAAAAAATATTTAAAAAAAATAAATAAATAAAAAAAATAAAATAAAAGCTAGTTCCAGGGACCCCTGGGTGACCAAGTCAGTTGAGTGTCTGACTGCAGCTCAGGTCACCATCTCCTGGTTTGTGGATTTGAGCCCCGCATCGAGCTCTCTGCTGTCAGTGCAGAGTCTGCTTCAGATCCTTTGTCCCTTCCCTCTCTGCCCCTCCCCCACCCGCACGGGCTGTCTCTAAAAAATAAACAAACATCCAAAAAAAATTTTTTTAAAGCTCATTCCAGGCCACAGGGGATGGAGCCAGTTTTGGTCAGAGGGAGCGCAGTGCAGTGCCCTCAGCCCTCTGGCCTTGACCTAGAGAGGGAGAGGGCAGATGAATCAAGTCCCTTCTGCCAGTGAGCACTGAGATTTTAGAAGCGCTATTAGCGTGGCTGTGGGCTTGACCGCGTTACCCAGCCTCCTGGCCTCTGCCACTCAAAACAGCTGATGAGCCAGAGGCAGAGAGGTCAAAAGGGAAGACCTTGGGCTTTGGGGTCAGGCTGGGCATTGACTTCCATCTCTGCCTCTTTGTAGCTGGGTGACCTCGGGCAAGACACTTAACCTCTCTGAGCTTGCACCTGCACTTCTCTCAATCAGGATAATAATCTGCCTCAGAGGGTGGCCAGGAGGCTCCTTTTGAGATACAATGTGCAGAGTGGCGCTCACAGTGGGGTCACACCCTTTAATGCTCCAGAAAGGAAATGGCATGTTCTAGGAATCTAAATACTGTGTTGTACGGGCCATGTCCCCTCTTGAATCAGTAGAAGACATAGGTGAAGCAGAAGTTCTACTAAGCCTATGTGGCCTTGGCCTTACTGTTCCTCAGTCTTCTCTTCTAGAAAATGGGAATAGTAATAGCCCACCAACACAGGATGGCCTGAGATAATGCAGAGAGAGCGCCAGGCTCTCGGAGGGGAGCAGACAGGAAGGTGGCTGCTCTGTAAAGGGAGAGGCTGGACCCACCATCTAAGAGGACCTCTCCAGCTCTGGGTTAGCAATGAGCTCCATCCTTTCCCAGGGAGAGACCAGACTTGCTGCTGCACCAGCCCGTCATGCCGCAGGGCAGTGGCAATGACGTGAGAATCGGACTCCGGGCAGAGGACACTTCTGCCTCGAGTGGCCTGCCCAAGGCTTAACGTAGGGGTCAGGTCGTCGGGGGCTCCCGTGACCTCTCCTTCCCTCGCCTTCTGTTTGAATGAGCATCCATGCCATCCCCATCCCACGTGCCCGTATGGCATATTTGGTTGTGGACTCAAGTCCCAGACCACAGACGTTCAAAAGCAGGAGGCTCTGACCCATCACTAACCCCGGGCCACTGGAGGTCAGCTTCTTAAACTCCAGAAAAACCAAATCCCCTTGGGTCAGAGAGTGAGAATCACCACCAGCTAACCCTACCCCGAGCTGTCTTCGGCAAATATTTATGAAGCAGCCACAAAGGGCCGGGCATAATTCCTGGTGCGCAGTCACCCTATGGTACAGAATGCGCCCTCTGCTGCCTTTGAGCTGGCCCTGCCCTTCTCTGGGCCTCATTTTCTCCAGTCCGTGAATCCGGGAACTGTAGAGGAGATTGCTGAACTCTATCCCGTGGTTTTCAAGGTACCTACGGACACTCTCTGGCGGTGAGTGCCCTGTCCCTGACAGGGATTAAGAATTTGTATGTAAGTTGGATGACCCCTTGGACGTGTGTTGGACCTGATGACTCCAGGGCTCTTGGAAACCACCAGATGCTGGTTCGAGGCCCTGAGAGGGCAGTGGCAATAGCATAAAATGGTATCTATTAGGAATAATGAAAATCTTGTGGGCATTTTTGTGCTCCTACCATGTTCCTTTGCCTTAAGTATTGCTCCCCCCCACCGTCCCGCGCAAAGCTGTCCCAAATCACAGGGCCTGGCTGAGCTCCTGACACAGGAAGTGGAGGGGAAGGGGTGTCTGTAGGCTGTTTCCCACCATGTCCACTCTGGCTACCCCTTGTACTAGAAAGGGAGGCGGCTCTGGGATTTTCAGGGTAGTGATGGCTCCTAAGCCTCTTTTTTTTGGAGGGGGGGGTAGGTTCTGCAGCCCCTGCCTGAACCAGAGATGTGGGTTTTCAATTACACAATTAAATGCACAATTAGGCATAATTACCAGTGCTCAGAGCCCGAGACTGCTCATAATAGGCGTGTAATCTACTGCAGCCTCTGTTTATACTACTCAGTGCGCTCCCTAATGATGCCAAGATGCCTTCACACTGCACTGTTGCCATGGAAACGAGCCCGCCGCCGCCACCACGCAGGGCTGACAAATGGTGTTCCAGTCCCGGGCCCCTGGATTGTGTCTGAGGCCTCCTCTGCCAGCCGCGGAGTGAAGGGGCTGGCGGGGTGGGCCCAGAAGGTGGGTCACCCTCCCTGCCCTCTGACACACCCCACTGGTTGGACCCAGCCTTGGAGCCAGCAGGGAAGGCAGGAGAAGGGAGCATCAGGCGTCCCCTCCCCACCCCCATCAGGGTGCTCAAGCCTTGAACAGGGTGGCCCAGGTGCTGGGAAGGGTCCCGTGGTGATCCGTTCAAGCTGAGGTGGTGTGAACAGGGGGTGCTGTATACAGCTAGCTCCCACACGGCCCGGCTCTGCCCTGAGCCCACTCCGTGACCTTGGACTAGTCCTTGCCCCTCTCTGGGGCTGTTTCCCCATATGGGAAACGGACCGCAGGGTCTCTGCATGCATGTCATCTAATAGGGAGGTTTCTGAACACTTCGGCCACACCGCCTACCCTTGTAACTGTGCTGCCTGTAGGAGCACAGCCCCCCTTGTGCCACCCTGGCGTGGTAGACACATCATCCCGGCGTCACAGAAACAGAATCTGAAGCCACGAGCACTTCTGTCAGGCCAAACAGAGCTGGGATTCAAATCCAGGCAGTCGGGCCCCCAAGGCTCCACTCTTGCCTCACGTACGTCCTCCTGTCCCCCTCGAAGCAGCCCCAAGGGTGGACCCTTGCATTCCTATTTCCTAGATGCAGGGCTCCGCAGCTCAGAGAGCTAAGGTCACTTGCCCGAAGTCACACAGCAAAGGCAGTGGCCCAGTAGCTTCTGGCAGATGCCAAAAGCCTGGATTCCTAGCTTTGGCTCCTTAGGGGAAAAGTCGTGAAGGACTAGAAAGATTTCCTTCCACAAGCACATATAAAGCTCCCCGCCCCCCCCCCACATTGTCCCCACCTGGTCCCAGCTGCTGAGGAGGGATGGAGCCCTGGCATCCCTCAGACCCAGCACTTTGATTTGACCTTGAGAGAAATCTTGTCCTAGCCCTCCCTCCATCAAGCCACTCATCTTGGTCACTGGAAACAGAGCCTGTCTTTTATGCTCATCTTTTTCCTGCACTTCTGTTTCATTCAGTACGTCATTGCGGTCACCCGCCGTGTGCCAGCTCTAGGGGACAAGATGAACTAGACACAGCAGAGAACCAAGACTGGAGCACAGAGGCTTCGGGGTCTGATGGGCCTGGGTTCCAATTCTGTCCCTTAAGGCATGATTTGGGGCAAGTTGTTTGACCTCTCTGTGCCTTAGTTTCTTCATCTTTAATGAAGGCATCACCCTGTACTGTGCAGGTTTGTAACAGTATTAGCACTAACAGCTGCCTCTTATCAAGTGCTTACTCTGTGCCAGGCCCTCAGCTAAGGCCATTATGTAGTCTACCATTGCCATTTAATAGATGAAACAACTGAGGCTCAAGAAGTTCGAGTGCATGGCCAGGTCTCTGAGCTGGTGCGTGGTGGTGGGGGTGTCCGGGTCTGGAGCCCTGCCCTTCCCCACCAGGGGACCCGCCAGCATGGAGATGCAAGTCTTCCTCTCACCACTTCCCTGCAGCACCAGGCTGCTGGCCGGTTCTTCTTAGGGAATGAGGCATCTAGAGGAAAGGGGAGTCTGAGAGCACCCACCCAGGTAGGGAGACTCAGGTTTGCTGGAGGCCACAATACAAGTCAGTGGCAGAGCTGGGACTGGCACCCAGAGCCACTTTAGGAGACTTCTTTTTTTTTTTTTTTTTAATGTTTTATTCATTTTTGAGAGGCAGAGAGACAGAGCACAAGCAGGGAAGGGGCAGAGAGAGAGGGAGACACAGAAACTGAAGCAGGCTCCAGGCTCTGAGCCATCAGCACAGAGCCTGATGCGAAGCTCGAACTCACGAACTGCGAGGTCATGACCAGAGCCAAAGTCAGACTCTCAACCGACTGAGCCACCCAGGCGCCCCGAGAGACTTCTTGTTACCTTCCTTCTACCCCCTGCCAGTCCTTCGGAGAGAGAGCTTTGGGGCTATAGTGTGCATGTGTGTGTGTGTTTGTACGTATGTATTCAAAACTGCACACGGCTGCATACCCACGCATTTGTGGGGCAGACACTGGCACGTAGAGATTTGTGGATCGATAAACATCCCTTCCCGCTTCCTCCCTCTTCATTTATTCATGAACTCTGAACTCCTTGGCTCCAGAGAAACTGCCTGGAAGAAAGCAATTAGAGCATAATTAGAACCACTCCTATTATCAACTCTCAGTGGGAGGGGAAGGGGGCCTGCCCGGCCATGGGGTGGGGGTGGCCCAGGAGTTCCTTGCAGCCGCCCACTCAGCTCCTGCTCACCCCACGGAGCTCAGTCTTCCTGGAGTCGTAGGCACCAGTCCACTGGCAGCAGGGAACAAGGAGCCCATCCCTGGAGGCATTCAGGCACTTGGTAAGACTAGGAAGGAGAGCTTTCTGCTCTGCATGCCAAGTTAGAGCAGATGATTGCCCAGTCCCTTCTGTGCTGAGCTCTTGCTGGGTGCTCCCTGCCAGGGCCTGGGCCAGGGGTTGTGGGAAAACAGAAGCCCAGCCTGGCTCCTCCTTTATAGAAAACCCCGGTATCAGATGGTAGCAAGTGAAGACCACGCTGAGGATAGGAGATGTAAGTTACCTGCAGTAAGTAATTTACCAGGCAGCCCTCCATTCACTGTCAGGTGATTAATAGTAATAATACCAGTACCGGAAGTCAATGTTAATGGGGTGTTTCTGATCCCAGAGCCACTGCTCTTCCCCACCAGGTGTCCCACCAGCAGAGAGGTCACCCGGGAGCCAGGGACAGGCTGTCTTCCCACCCATATGGTGTAGGAGCAAAGGTAATGTCTGACAGCCTCCTCTCGGAAAACCAGACTTTAGGATGTCAGTGGGGAAATGATGGGGCTAGGCAGCCCCTGGTTCCCAGAGGAGCAGGAAGACAAGGGAGGTGCTGGGCACTGTGCTTCTCCTCCTCCTCCTTCTTCAATGTTTATTTTTGAGAGAGAGAGCACTAGAGGGGAATGAGCAGAGAGGGGGAGAGAGCATCCAAAGCGGGCCCTGGACTAACAGCACAGAGCCCGATGTGGGGCTCGAACTCACGAACCGTGAGATCATGACCTGAGCCGAAGTCAGATGCTCAACCGACTGAGCCACCCAGGCGCCCCTGGGCACTGTGTTTCTTGATTCAGATGCTTTTCCTCACTTCATGTCACAGGAACCTGAGACGGTAGATCCTGGTATCTTTGAGGTACTGCTGTGGCAGCTGAGGCTGGGGAAGCCACAGAGCCTGCCTACGACAACACAGTGCTGGCCTGTTGGACTCTAGACTCCCCGTGCCTCATGCTCTATCAGGTTCGATGGTGTGACTCGCTCTCCCCCGAGCTTCAAGTTGGGCCTGAGTTGCTCTGAGCTCCCCTGTTGGGCCTTGAGAAGCTGTTCAGTGTGCCTTTTACATCCACCTACTGGTCGAAGGTAACCCGTTGAGTACTCGTATTCCCCTTCCGTCACCCCGTGTCAGCTAAAGAGAGTGAGAGGGCCCTGCCCCTGATCTGGGTCGCTGCCCTCGGGACCAGTCTCGGCACAGGAAAGTGGAGGCCTGGCAGACGAGGGTCTTGGGCCTCTTGAGAGAGGATCACCATGGATACGGGAGCCAGGGCTGTAACCAAGGAGACAGCCCCCCAGCCCTTAGGCTGTGGCAAGGAAGGTGTGGCTTTAGGAAGTGGAGGGGGAGACACTGCCACCTGGGGCCCAGAAGGACAGGGAGGGGGGTGAGGAGCTAGATGCGGCAGAGGAGGACTGGGGGTCAGTGGTGCTCCCTCCCGGGAATGAGAGCGAGGTGCATGGGGACATCCTGGCCTCTTTCTATTACCCTGTCCCACCTGAGGGGAGGTTGCCGTGGTACCCCAGCTCCCCTTCGTTGTCCCTCCGTGGGATGCTGCCCCCATTTCCCCTAGTGACATGATGCTGATAGATTGACACAGGCAGCAAGTCTGTCCGGCCAGCGGTGGGCCAGCTTTCAGACAGCCCCTCACCAGCCTCCCCCAGTGAACATGATGAAGTGCCACTCTGGACCTCCCTCCCTCTGTGTACAGCAATCCATGGCTCCTTGTTGCCTTTAAGAAGAGGTCTAACGTGGGGCTTCTCAAACTTGAAGATGTGGCAGAATCACCTGGGAGCTTCTTAAAATACAGATTTCTGGACCTGGCCCTGAGTGTCTGATTTAGTAGGTCTAAGAGGAGGCCTGAGAATTGGCATTTCTAACAAATCCCAAGGCGCTGCTGATGCTGCCGGTCCGGGGACCACACAGTGAGAAATACTGGCTCTAGCCAGTGGGGCACCAGGCCGCCCAGGCAGGCCTGACAACCCTAACGCCCTCCACTTCCGGTCCCTGAGCTCAGGCCACACTGATGTAAGCTCACCAGCTGCACGTACCTCGTACCACAGTGCCTTTGTGTTTGCTGTTCCGGCCTCTGTGTCTCCTCAAGATCGGCTAGCCCATCGTTTGTTCTTTGGAGCTTCTCTGGGCTCCCCACATCTGGACGTCCTTCTCCAGACTCTGGTAACACCCATTGCTGCCACTTCTGTCGTGGCAGGCGTCATGCTGTTGGGCACACGTTTCCCGCTTCCACCTTGAACCTCACGCCCTGGATGGGGAGCTTAGCGTCTGAGCTTTCTGGCCTCTGTGAATATGTGGTGTTTGATTGACCCCTGTGAGCAGGCGGAAAGCCTGGGTGAATAGTCACAAAGCTGCTTTGCCCACTCAGCCCGTCAGGGACTTACCAGTGCTTCCTCCAGGCCAGGCACGGTGCTCGGTGGTGCTAGAAGTTTTTCCTAATGTTTTATTTATTTTTGAGAGAGAGAGAGAGAGAGAGACCGAGCACAAGCAGGGGAGGGGCAGAGAGAGAGGGAGACACAGAATCTGAAGCAGGCTCCAGGCTCTGAGCGGTCAGCACAGAGCCCGACGCGGGGCTCGAACTTGTGAACTGTGAGATCATGACCTGAGCCGAAGTCAGATGCTTAACCGACTGAGCCCCCAGGGCACGCCTGGAGCAGAGGACTCAGCGGGTCAGTGTGGCATCGGCCAGTGTGTAAGCGAGGCCTGAGCCGGGCTTTGCCTGGCTTTCCTGGTGCTAACTTCCGAGCCCTCTTCACTCTCCCGAGATGCTCCCGGAGCCCGGGCACCTGTGTGACCTGAGACTCTGCTTTGGGAATGTGCCTCCACCGAGGATTTCTCCAATTTGCTCCTGGCAGGCCCCGGTCCCCTGTCCTGTCAGCCCCACACTCACTTCCAGGAACTTCCGGGGCTCTTCCAGGACAGCTCGTGTGGCTGGCGTGTGTGCAGCCCCAGGCCCGAGGGACAAGGCCGGCTGTGTGTGTGTGTGTGGGGGGGGGGGAACAGGTGTGGGTGGTGCCCACAGGTGTCCGAGGGTGTCCAGACCTGTGAGTTAGGCCCCTGTCCAGAAGGGACAGCCCTGGCCAGGGCCGGCTGGACACTGCTGTGTTCTAGCATGGAACTCGGAGACAGAGGGATTTAAAGTCACAGCCCGGCCTTCCAGACCATGATGTCTAAGAGAGAAGATAGGACATACTGTATCCGAGAGTTGGTTAGCTTGGTTTGTAACTTAACTATTTAGACCCCCGGTGCCCTCTTGGTATTCTTGCTTGGGTTCTGAAGATGCCCAAACGTTAGAGGAGGGTCTGGACTCGGGGTGGGGTGCAGGCGGAGGGCCCCAGGTGCCTGACCTGCCTCGGGCGGTGCCAGCCGCACCAGCCGGTCACTTGCCTGTCTGCTGCCCCATGAGCCATCTGAGCAGGCTGCTGTCCCCAAGCTTCCGCTCGCTGTCATCCGCGACATAGGCCACCGAGGAGACAGGGATCGCCCCCTCGAAGTGAGAGGCTGTCTGGGGCCTGGCTTGGGACTCACACTGTGGCTGCTGGCTGGTCCAGGCCTGGCCTGATGGGACAGGATGGGGGGAGGGGGGCTCCGTTTATCAGGGCCTGCTGTGCCCAAATGTTGGACCGACGTGATCAAGTGAACCAGGTGACGGATGGTGAGACATCCAGCCTCTGCAGTTCTCCAAGAGTGAGCGCACAGGCGGGTTCCTCAGCCCGAGCGATTTCTTCACCTGTAAATGGAGATGCTCGTACGTGCCTCTCAGGGCTCCCGAGCAAACTCAACGCCAGAATCCAGGGAGAGCGCTCAACACGGCGCCTGGCACCTAGTTGATACTTAGGACACGGCCAGTAGAAATCACGAGCAGTCTTTTGGAGGGTGCCCTGTCTGCAAGGCACAGAGTCACGGCTGCTAGATGGGAAGTTCCCAGGCCAGAAGCCAGAAGGCTTCCCAGAGAACAGCCCTCCAACCCTTTGTACAGATGGCTACACAGAGGCCCAGGAAGGCAATGGAACCCCATTTGTGAACTGTTAGGAAGTGGGCCAATGCCATTTCTAGAAAGGATCGTGGTTGGGTGTGTAAGTCCAGACAAAAATACCTGAACAAAAATACGCTCTCCCAGGTAGGTGGAAGCAGGTGGCTCTTCTGCTTGGTCTGGGCAGCCATGGGCAAGAGTCGTAGCTAGAACCTTCCCCATGCTCTCGATGTTTGCAGGCAGGAGCTACTGGGGAGCCATGGCAAAGGCGCCCATCCATGGAGGACGCACCGCTAAAAAAGATGGTCCCAGGAGATAGGACTTGACCTCCAGTCTGACACCTGGTGGCCTCAAGAAAGGGCCTCATTCTCCTCCTCTGGAAAATGGGGCTGCTGCTGCCCTGGCCAGATAGTAAATCTGTTACTCATGGACCCTGGGGCCAGGGGACCTTTCAGATCAGTATCAGCCGTGGGACCTCGTTCCTGAGGCTTCAGTTTCCCCGTGTGCAAAGCGAGGGTGACCTCTGTCTCCCCCTGGCAGGTCTCTGTGAGGAGGAAATGAATCAAGGCATATGCTATGCATCCAAGAGACACTCGACGTATAATAAGTGTTAGCTCTCATCTCTTAGTGTCACTTTGGGGATAAGATGAAATGCCACCTGTGAAGTGCTGGGCTCGGCACATGCACATAGTAGGTACTCCCCTTCCTTTCTCAAGTGAACCCCAGGGGGCCATGAGGCCCCACCCGGTTCCCAGGGGGGCCCTCCCTCCACCCCACTTCCTGCAGACAGCAAGCACCTCTTTAGGTTCTGCCTGCAGCCTTCTGGCCCAGGGCCAGGAAGTGATTGCAGGCGGCAGCTCAGCTCCCTCCCTCCCCTCTGCTCCTCTGCCTCCCCCACCCCTTTAATCTTCCTAGCCCGCCTGGGTATGGGGGAGGGGAGAGGGAGGAGACCAGAGGCTGCAGGTACCTGTTAAAAGCCTGGGCTCTGGGGTCAGACCTCCTGGGTTTGCTCCAGCCCTGAGATCTCAGGCTGTCCCCTCCCCTTCCCCTCCCCCTGTACCCCCACCATAGAACGGGGATGATGGCCCATCCCTCACTCCTCACTCTACTTGTGAGAGCTAAGGGAGGTGGCGCATGCAAAGTGCTTGGCACCAAGCCTGGCCCAGAGTAAGCGTGCACAAAATATCAGCCAGCATTCACACCAGCGCTGAAGTTCAGGGCCAGGCATTCTGAAGGGAAACACTTGGGCCCAGTCACCTGGGGGCGCCCTTCTCACGGTGCAGACTCTCCCAGGCCCCCAAATGACCCCTGCCCCGGCCGTCTTGGGGTGGACCAGAGCAGAGCCCCCCCTGCAGAGCGGATAGATTACCTGAAGAGGAAGAGGAGGACAAGATGGGGTGGGGGTGACCTTCCTTCCACTCATTTATTCCTTTGAGCCACAGATGAATCGGGCACGGGCTACCTGCGGCCGGATGGGAGTAAGGGCGGGACAGAGGGAGGGATACCAGGCTGGTAGACGCCCCCCCTCACTGCTCCGAGCCTCAGTGTCCTCATCTGTCCAGTGGGGCTAATAATGCGCGATCCATGCTGGCGGCGTACATCAGTGTGAGCTGTGAAGGGCTGTCTAGATGTTGGTGGCTGCGGTGATTCTCTGCCGGAAGAAGTGGGGAAGCTGGGATCGGAGCCAAGTGGAAGGGGGACCCAGGAGCCCTGGGGAGGGGCTCCTGGCGCCCTCCACTCCCCCACCAGGCAGGCTTCCCTGCCCCGCCCGCCCTGTAGTCAAGAGGGGAAGGCAGAAGTGGCTGCTGTTGCCGTAGCACTGAGGCTGGTTTTCATCATTATTTTCTTCCTGGGAGCATCCTTACAGGAGGTGCTGCTGAATAAGTCACGGAATTGGATTTTATTCCCTCCCTCCATCAGGTCACGTGAAGAGTGGCTCAGTTGGGAGAAATGACCTGTCAGCTCCTTCTAGCGCTTGACCCTCTGCAGTAGGTGTCTGACACCTCCAATATGACGCTTGACCCAGGGGAGCGCTCCAGAGGGCTTGGTGCCTCCTCTCCGGCTCCAGGCTGCTTTCCTGCTCAGCCTCTCTGACATTGCCATGTTGCATCAGGCCAGAGGATATGATAGCCTTCCCTCTGGCATCCTGCCCCTGCTCGCTCCCCGTGCTCTAGCCACAGGGGTCGTTTCTGGACCCTTCGACTTGCCAAGCTCCCTCCCACCACAGGACCTTTGCACGTGCTTTCCCTGCTGCCTGTCCTTCCCTCCCTTCCTTACCTTGCCAGCCCCTCTTCCTTCAGTTCACTCCCTCCAGGAAGTCTTCCTTGGCCACTTCCATTATCGTTCTCATTCTTGTCACCCCTCCTTCAGACACTTAGCATAACCGTAATTTTGCTCTGTGTGCATGCATGTGGCGGGGGGGGGGCACGTGTGTTTGGTGTCCTCTCCTCCCCACTCTACCTCCTGAATGTAAGCTCTGTGAGGCCAAGAGCTATGTCTGACTTTTTTTTCTCCGCCTTCGTCCTCATCCTCTTCATCTTCCTTATCTTCTTCATATTTATCTTTTTTGTTTTTTTTTAGGTATAATTCACATACATAAAATTCACCATCTTAGGGGGCGCCTGGGCGGCTCAGTCATTTGAGAGTCCGACTTCGGCTCAGGTCATGATCTCGCGGTCTGTGAGTTTGAGCCCCACAATGAGCTCCGTGCTGACAGCTCAGAGCCTGGAGCCTGCTCCAGATCCTGTGTCTCCCTCTCTGTCCCCTCCCTGACTTGCGCTCGCTCTCACTCTCTCTCTCTCTCAAAGATAAACATTAAAAGGCAAAAAAAATTTTTTTAAATGTTTTGTTTATTTCTAGGAGAGAGAGAGAGAGACAGCGTGAGCAGGGGAGGGTCAGAGAGAGAGGGAGTCACAGACTGAAACAGGCTCCAGGCTCTGAGCTGGCAGTCACCATAGAGCCCGACGCGGGGCTCCAACCCACGAACCACAAGATCATGACCTAAGCGAAAGTCGGACACCTAACCGACTAAGCCACCCAGGCACCCCAAAAAACTTTTTTTAAATCACCATCTTAAAGTACACAATTTAGGGCTTTTAGTGTGCCATACTGCTGAGTAACCATCACGCACTCGCATTCCAGAGCGCTCTCAGCACCCCAAAAGAAACCTCAATCCTGTTAGGGGTCACTCCCTGTTTTCCTCTCCCATCAACCCTTCGCTATCCCACTACTCTGCTTTCTGTCTCTCTAGGCATTTCATGTAAGTGGAATCCTACAATATGCAGTCCTCTATGACTCGTCTCTCTCAGCATAATTTTTTTTTAAGCTTATTTT